GTTACGTTCAATACCCGACTGAAAAACGACTACTTCTGGCTTTTAAAGCTGTAAAATCACAGGCCAGTGTATAAACTAGCTATTTGATTGGTTTTTTTAACATCTTTATTAGCTTTCCAATAATAACTAACCATTTAATAGGGTGAATTGCTAGTTCCTTTTTACTTGACTCCATAAGCACATTAATGCAGGAATACAGCCGGCGATTTGCAAGAGAGCGGGAGCTGGGTTTTACTGAAAGCACTGAATTTATGTACACCTATGTATTATTCACTATATCAATCGCCGCTTGCCTTTGATTGATACTGATAGTCAAAAACAATAATATTGAACTCCCAGAAATATTGATTGTAAATGATTGGCAAAAACAAATAACAATCAATCAATCTATGGTAATCGATAACATTGGTAATCCTGTAGAGTAACTGTTTCAAACATATTTCTGAAGATAGCGGTGCTACATTGTAGCTACCTAAGCATCTAGTAATTAAACCACACAAGAATAGCATTGATCATTAAGCAATAATTTTTATCATTGATTTCAGCATTTAGCCCAGGCAGAGTGTTCATCCCATTCCACTTGTTTTCTAGGGGTTTAAAAAGATTTTAACATTTCTATTCATTCCACAATACAGGTAGTCAACATGCAGCACATGTATTACAGGTTAACTATTGATTGACTGCACTTGGTAACTACTAGAAGGATTTTTTTTTTTAATTTTTTGTTCCTTTTGCAACAGTCAATTCATTTGCATAAAAAGCCACGTCACCATTGTTAAAAATTGGTGACAAAGTTTTTTCGATTCAGATGCTACAAACTATAGATTTCAGGAAACTAAAATGATCATGAAATTCCCATGGGAGTCATTTTTTGACATATGGCCTCAGACTAATACCACAAAGACAGCACCATGTCTCGTCGGATCAACAAAGCTAAGCCCTGTTCGACAGGGTTGGGTAGCCAAAATATGAATACCCTACGCTGTAAAGTTTTCTTTTTGGTTTTCATTTTTTATCCTTACCTTTTGGAGGCAATATCAGTACATGCAGAACTCCCAACACTGTGTAATGTCTCTTTCTTCTTTTCATCAACTATTTTTTCATATTATCTTGCATCTCCAAATTTATTTACAGACTTACCAAAAAATTATAAGCGAAATGTATAGTTTGGTCTTAGTGTTTCTGCACATACATGTACGCAGTAGAATAATTATTTCCCTCTTGCACAGGACTATGCAAGTTTGAATCTCATAGGTAGCAAAATTTCTTATTTCTTTTCTTTTTCATAGTTTCTTTTTTTTTTTAGAGACACAAAAGCCAGCTTTTGTCTTTCCACTTCTTCTGTTAATTGTCTGGAGCTTTTTAATAATCATTTTACTTCGATTGCCTTGAACTCACAATATGCTAGCCACTAGTACCATGTAGGTTTGTGAAAATAACACCATGAAGACTTACAATTGATTCACCAAGAAAGAATCATAAATCTTTTCCTTACAACCAAAAAATCGTTTCACCTTCTACCTCTCCAATATAACCAACTTGACACAGTACAAGCGACTGTGAAAGCCTGATGTCAACAGAATATTCGAAACTGGGGGGCAACTCCTATGTGAAAAGGTTGGGGATGCTCATCTTCTCGACTAGGGCTATAAATCAAAGTTTTTGGTCTCATTTACAGTACCGATCAGAAGAAGCCTAACAGGGAATGCTTGACAGAATGCATTCTGTTTCCGTTCCACACACGTTCCTGTTCTCGTTCTGTATCCGTTCCATATCCTTCTGTATCCATTCTGTATCTGCTCCGTTCCCGTTCTGTATCCATTCTGTGCTGTTCTGTTCCCGTTCTGTCAGCATTCCATCAGGAAGCGTTCTTGGAACTCGTTCAAAAGGACGAGATTTCTGAGAACTTGTTTACAAGATTAGGAACACTCATTTGCATTTCATGAAATGGGTTAAAACTGCCGACTTATGCGAGAATATGAACAGTAAACTTAAATTTTTGTGGTGAAAATATGAGTCCAGTTACTCAAAAAATACAGGAAGATGGTATCGTAACTTCAAGGCCAGTTTATTGTAAGTCTTTCTCCGAAACAATACAAAGCGACCGGTAGTCTGTGTGATTGCCCAAGGAAAGGAAGAAGCAAACCAGCTTGCCAAGCACTTTTAACACCATCGATGAAAAAATACAAGCAAAAGATGAACTTTCAGCTCTTGTATTTACACAAATACTTTTAGTGAGATTTAACATTGAAGTACCGCCAAAAACTGTTCAGCGAATATGACAGAAACTTGGCAGGACGACGCGAGCGGAACAAAGTACTGACAAAAAGCCGAAGCAAGCATTTTGTGATACTTTTAGTGATGTTATTTTCATAAGCAAATGCTCAGTTAAGATTGAAGATTATCCTCGCCGATCCTTCTGCAAAGTTGGTGAACAACACTGTAACAAAAGTCAACCAAGACATGGATGTTTTGTTTTGTTTCTCTTTATAAGGAAACCTGTCAATCCCAGTCTAACTGGACTTGTCCATCCATTTCCTTATTTGGACATAAGTCGAGCTTGTTGACAATAACAAAATGGCCGTGATGAACACGAAATGGACAAGAACATGCAGGGAAGACGCTTGCCTAGTGCGTGTAAAAAGAAATAAAAGAAGGCATAAGATGATTCGTTCTGTCATTTTCTAAAGATCGCTGGGCTGGACAAAAATTGGATGAACGTGTATTTAAAGTTACACCATTTCCAAATCCTTGGTTAGCACTCTGATAGCGTAACTTACTAGCATGTGTTCTGAAGAACGCGTTCTCTTATAGTTTGCGTTCTGGAGAATGCTTTTGCCATTTTTTGTGATTTGTAACTGTTCCGTATCCATTTCATTTCCGTTCCATATCCGTTCTGTATCTGTTCTGTACCCGTTCTGTACCCGTTCTGTTCCCGTTCTATTCGCGTTCTCATACCTGTTCTGTCTCCGTTCCGTTCCTATTCGCAAACGCGTTCCCTCTTAGGTTTCTTCTGATCGGTACTGTAGGGCGTCCAAGACAAACTGCCACTATTTTTAGCTGTAAAAGTATCCTTTTAGGTGCACTTGAAGAAATTATGGCAATTAAAGAAAACGCTCTTTTTTGTTTTTAGGCTTGATTTCCAAAGGTCTCTCAAATCCCGTCTACTAGCACAGGCTCCTTTCCTAAACAGAGGCTAGCTGGTAATCAAGCTTATTCCGTTTTAAGTGGTCACCGTTTAGGGGTTTAATTCAAATTTTCTGATGAGCATCTCCAACCTTTCCATATGGGAGTCCTTCCCCCCTGCCAGGTTTCAAATTGTCTGACAAGAAGTGAAGGAGTGAAGGAGTGAAGGAGTGATGGATTGAAATCGCTTCACACCTAAAACTAGGAAAAAATATTTTCCACGTTGAAAAGGAAGGCAAATACCCCACCCTGGGCCATCCAGAAAATAACACTGCTCAATATTGCTCGCAGCAAAATCACAATGAAAACATCTTATTCACCAATATTATTTTACATGTCATTTTGTAAAGAGATACATGTGCAGTTAATCCTTCCAGTAGTCAACACATTGTGTAAAATGCTACTTTGGGTTTATTTTTTTGTTAAATTATCACTGTCATTCTATCTTAACATGCACAGTTCATAGGAGTACTAAATACAGTGTACTTGTCATTGAAGAATTCAAGACATTATGATCCTTTAATTTAGTGACAAACACAAATTTGTATGTCAGCTTATTTGTAAATGCATTATCAATGACAAAATCAGTGTGTTCTTGTCATGTGACCAACTGTGCTTTTATGAATTATCTCATATAGCTTTAAGATCCATATATTATATGGGCTTAATTTCGTTGATCCAAATGTGATCAACAAGAGATGAAACATATATGAGAACATCATCTTGTTTGAGTTCTCTGCTGCATGCGAGTCACCAAAACCCACATGGGCGCCAAACATTCTGGGGTTGTTCCATGGGTAGGGAAATATCCAGCCCCTGGGCAGTAATTAAATTTCAAATGCCCCACTCCAGGAACCCTGATGTGAGCAAATGCTGGCTATTGCCCTGAGGGAGAGGAATAGGCATTGCTGGAATGTATATATATAGATATATCGATCGATCGATCGATCGATCGATCGATCGATAGATAGATAGATAGATAGATAGATAGATAGATAGATAGATAGATAGATAGATAGATAGATAGATAGATAGATAGATACTTATCTCCCTAGCGAGTTAACAACCCATTAGTTAATTACTGTGCTTTCAAACTGAACATTACCATTACATACACATATTCCTGTTCGTGCTTAGGTAGCACATAAGAACATAAATTGGCATTAGCAGATGTTCCGAAAAATTCCTAAAAACTTTAAGAGAATTTTAACATCTGATTTTATTTCCGTATAAATAAGGGATCGTGCTAAGAACATCGTTCCGGGCTCCTTAATTTATAGAGAAGATACAACACAGAACTGTACATTAACACAATTTAAAAGTTAACGTGCTAGCATGCTTTTCAACGACTTACCAACAATCTGTACTTCAATTTCATCAGTCCATTTCTTTACGTCAGTCTCTACCTTGCAGGAAAACACCGCTTCATCTGCTTCTGTC